GTAGTACAGTGACCAAAACCAGGAAATTAAAATTGGCACTATACTAACTAAATCTAGACTCTATTTCAATTTCATTAGTGTTTCAACTGTTGTCCTTTTTTAGTTCCAGGATCCTATCCAGAACTCCATATGACATTTAATTGTTATTTCTCCTTAGTCTCCCTCAGTCTGTAACAGTTCCAGTTGGGAGCAGAAGTTTCCACATCTTCTACTTTAGGCACACAAATTCAGCCACACCTGGAATTTCATGATGTTTAGCCGCTTCTTGGGAGATGGGACCCTAGATTTCATTATCTCTTTAGGTTCTCTCTTCAAGCTCCACTTTGTCCCCACATAATAATCCACTGTCACCAAGGAAATGTGGCCCCGTCCCCAGGTCTCATTGCTTCTCTCATGGAGTAGCTGTGCCAGGTTAGGCTGACTCCACTATTGGAGCTCAGAAAATGACACCCCAAAATACAATGCTTTGGCTTGTTGAGTACTTAGAACTAAAGGAGATTGGAAGGCCTCAGAAGCAGCCTCAGAAGCAAAGTCTGTCTCTCCAACATTCTCCTGCCCTGAGGTCTCCTCTCCTTTCTCCTTGATGGCAAGTCATAGAAATAAGAATTTGGGGCCAGGCACAGTGGCTCATGCCTGTAATCCCAGCACTTTGGGAGGCTGAGGCAGGCGGATCATCTGAGGGCAGGAGTTCGAGATCAGCCTGATCAACATGACAAAACCCTGTCTCTACTAAAAATACAAAAATTAGCTGGGCGTGGTGATGCACACCTGTAATCCCAGCTACTTGGGAGGCTGAGGCACAAGAATTGCTTGAACCCAGGAGGCAGAGATTGCAGTGAGCCAAGATTGTGCCACTGCACTCCAGCCTGGGTGACAGGAGCAAGACTCCATCTCAAAAAGAAAAAAAAAATGAGAGAGAGAGAAATTAGAATTCTTCTTCCCCAGGGCAGGTTATAGAAACCAGCTATATTACTGTAACCTTCCCCTGCCTTCTGTATAGGAGCTGGCCATAAGAAATTCTCTGACCTACCTTGTCTGATAGTAGATCGTAAGACCCTCTTTCTGGAGGGCTTCTGTCCTATACCAGGAGGAAGAAGTGCTACACAGAGAGGCCAACAAGAATCTCAACAGACAGGCCTTGTTGGGTTAACTCTCCCCCAGTCTATTACCATTAGATCATACCCATTTTGTCCAATCACATTTCCACATGACTGTCTACACTTTACTAAATCTAAGGATAAAAATGAACCATTTTCTCTGGGTCTTTGGGTCTTCATTTCTGAGGGCTCTTATGTCATGGATAACTTTGATTAAATAAATTTGTTATGCTTTTCTTTTGTTAACCTGTCCTTTGTTATGGCATGTCAGCTTTGATCCTTATGATGGGTGAGGAAAGGTCACATCTTTCCTACTTCCTGGAATATTAGTCATGACATTTTCTCTATCTCATAAGCTTAGAAATTCAAGAGACATCTTTACTGTCTCTTCAGGGCTGGCTACGTGGTGGCCCTGGTGTACTGCCAGCTGCACCACTGCTTACCTTAGTCAACTCCTTTGACATATGGCAGGATGCAGTGAGTTTGGAATGGTTGAAGCATTATTATTGTAGCCAGAAACTGTCCAGTTGTTTATGGCCAGGTTAAATAAGATAATGGGAAGGATATACAGGGGTGTGTGTGTGTGTGTGTGTGTGTGTGTGTGTGTGACAGAGAAAGAGAAAGAGAGAATGGTGAATATGTTGCAGAGAGGAGGATAAGATAGGAAAGGCAGCAGCTTGGACATAAAAGGAGTCCATGCTGAACATCTGCTATGTAATGTACCAGGCACTTCAAGGCACTCTCTCATTTAACCCTCATAGCAACTCCACTTTAGTTTTGTTTTTGTTTTCGTTTTTGAGCATCTCACTCTGTAGCCCAGTTGGAGTGCAGTGGTGTGATCTTGGCTCACTGCAACTTCTGCCTCCCATGCTTAAGAGATTCTTGTGCCTTAGCCTCTCGAGTAGCTGGGACCACGGGTGCACCCCACTACACCCGGCTAGGTTTTTGTATTTTGGTAGAGACCAGGTTTCACCATGTTGCCCAGAGTGATCTCAAATTCCTGAGCTCAGGCGATCTGCCCGCCTTGGCTTCCCAAAGTGCTGGGATTACAGGCGTGACCCACCATGCCTGGCCTTCCCTTTAGTATTTTATTATCCATTTTGGAAATGAGTAATCTGAAAGAAACTAGATAGTTTAGGGTCAGACAGCTCGTGAGTGTCAGAATTTGAGATTGAGGACATGTGTGTGCAGACTCCCCATTATGTATGTGCTCTTGCACCTCTGCACTTCCATGAATGTAATGAGAATAACAATGTAAGAATAAGAAGAGGTAGCTGATCTTTCTATGAATGCTTACTATGTGTCATCCAATTTATAAACATTCTCTTAACTAGTCTTCATGACAATCCTATAAATTAAGGACTACCATTATGGCTGTTTAAGAGACCCTGAAACTAGTGCTCAAAGGCTTTTGTAATTTTCCCAAGCTTACACAGTTATTAAGTGGTGGCACAGAAATTCAAATTAGGTTACATGATACCCAACACTAGGTGGTTTATTCTCACTCTTTAGGGTAGTGCCCCGGCCTGGAGAGGCCACAGTGCAGGTGTCAGGAGGGTGCCATTAGAAGGGCTGTGTCTGTGCATGGAACACATGGCCACCGATGCCTGTACCACAGTGGGCAATGGAAACTCAGTTCCAACCCTTCCATTAAAGCTCTCATCTAGTTACTCCTGTCTCTTGTAGGATAGGCTAAGTTTTACTGCAGGAAAATAATCTCAGTGGTTTAAAACAACAGAAGCTTATTTCTTTTGAACACACATTCAAATCGACCATCAGCTGGGAAGCGCTGTTCTGTGTCGCCCCTTCTCAGGCTGATGGACCAACCGCTAGATGGAGCCACATTGGTCATCAGAACAGAAAGAAAACCCTAGAACTGGACTGTGCTTTACACAGCATGGAGCCACCTGCAGTTACTTAGATTTGATTCAAAAGTAATTAAAATAAAATGGAAATTTCAGTCCCTTCATTGCACAAGCTGCATTTCAAGTGCTTGATAGTTTTTTCCACATGTGGCTACTGGCTACTATATTTTGTAGCGTGGATTCTGGAACATTCCCATCATCACAGGCACTTCTGTGGACTTGACTGACCTGATCTCTCACACTGTCCAGACTCAGAAATAACACATGTTTACTTCCACTCAGAATTCATTGGCCAAAATTGAGGGATTAAGAGGTTGACATTTTAAAAAGACTGTCCTAAAACTGAAGATAATAGAAGTTAAAGAAAACATAAACATAAAAACATTCTTTTTAAAAATTATTTTTCTGACCTAGCGGTATAACTTGTTCCTTTCCTCTGCTCTCTCTTTTGATAGTGAAATCCTACAGGGCTGGCAGAAATTTATAGATGCCTTGCCCAGACATCTAACTCCCTGGCCCCTAAGAAACCTTTACATGATTCAGACTGTCATACGTGCTCTTGTCATTGTGCGTGTCGAGCTAGACTGACCTGGTTTCGAACCCTAATTCCTAACATGAAGTAGCTTTAAGCTCTTGCTCAAGCGCGTTAAGCTTTCTGAACCCTAGGGTTTTTTTTGTTTTGTTTTGTTTGTTTTTTGTAAAATAAGTCTAACAAAAATATTTCTCACGTATTTACTTTAACCTTATATATAAAATTAGATACCTGGCTGTATCAGGCAGCCAGTAACTGTTAGCTACTGTTGTTGTTGTTATCACAAAGAAATTTATTTCCTTGTCCATTCATTTCAAGTCCAAGAGTTCTCTCTCTGCTGGGCCGCATAAGGCCATTTTAGTGTGTCTTAATGATAACAGCATTTTACACCTATTCATTATGTAGGTATATATATTTGATTACATATATAATTGATTTTTAATAATATGTAGCATTCCACTGTGAGACCGATACATTTCTTTAATTTCATTTAGTATTTATTTCATTATAATTGGCAATTATTAAGAAGCCCAACAAAACCGAACTTTAGAAAGATGTAATCATCAAAATCGCTTACATCTCTTATAAATTGCCGGAGGAAGAGTAAATTGGCACAATCACATTGGAAAGGAGTTTGGCAGTATCTCACGAGGTTGAATGTGTTCCTAACCCCTATGGGCCAACATTGACATTCCTGTACTGGCATCACTATTCATAAGAAGAAAAAAAAGGACAACAATCTGAAAACCCATTGCTTAGCTACTGAGAACATAAATGCAATTCAGTCCCACAAATAATGCTATGTATCTTTGAAAATCAATTATAACTACATGTATCAATATGAATAAATCCTTTAATATTGAATTAAAAAAAAAGTTCAAAACTAAAGCTAAATATACAGCATATATATGTATTTATGTATACATGTATATATATTTATGTACATACCCACATGTGTAGATATATATTTGTAATTTATTATCAGTATTCTAGTTCTCAGCTTGGTGATAGGTTCACAGATATCATTTTATCCTATTGCATCATAGTAAGAAAAAATGAGGCCGGGCATGGTGGCTCACACCTGTAATCCCAACATTTTGGGAGGCTGAGGTGGGTGGATCACTTGAGGTCAGGAGTTCGAGACCAGCCTGACCAAGATGGTGAAACCCCATCTCTACTAAAAATACAAAATTAGCCAGGTGTTGTAGCACATACCTGTAATCCCAGCTGCTCTAGAGGTTGCGGTGGGAGAATCGCTTGAACCCAGGAGGAGGAGGTTGCAGTGAGCCGAGGTTACACCACTGCACACCAGGCTGGGTGACAGAGCAAGACTCTACCTCAAAAAAAAAAAAAAAAATCTGAACACGTACGGAACAATGATAGCAGTGTGTCAAGAACGAAGGGTTGAGAGGAGTCCAGTGAGAACACTTGAAGTGCACTGAGCCTCAGACCTTTCACGCTTGCTTACATACTATCCTCAGTTGCCTCTAATTTTCTCTCTCCTAGTGGTACCTCACCTCAGATGGGCTGGTTTTCCATTTTAAGACTGGGATGAGACACCACAAAACAGGGCAGGCGATACGGTTTGGATATTTTGTCCCTTCCAAATCTCATGTTGAAATGTGACGTCCAATGTTGGAGGGGAGCCTGGTGAGATGTGTTTGGATCCTCATGAATGTCCTGGTGCGGTCCTCGCAGTAATGAGGTGAGTTCTAACTCTGTGAGTTCATGTAAGATCGGATTGTTTAAGAAAGCCTGGCAGCTCCTCCCTGTCTCTTGCTCTCTCTCTTGCCATGTGACACGCTGGTTCCCCTTTCACCTTCCACCATGATTGCAAGCTTCCTGAGACCCTCACCAGAGGCAGATGCTAGCACCATGCTACCTGTACAGCCTGCAGAACCGTAAGCCAAAATAAACGTTTTTTTCTTTATAAATGGCCAGGTCTCAGCTATTCCTTTATAGTAACACAAACAGACTCATCCAGCAGGGATCTGACTTCCTCAGCAACTGCCAAGGGGTTAGACAGGACAACACAGAAGTACAGAGGAGTTAGCTTCTTACAGAGTGAAACATAACCAATGGGGAAAAAAAAGAGGGAGATAGAGTAGTAGAGTGAGTAGATTTCCTCACCATTGTGTCTTCCATAAGCTACTCCGAGATGCAGTTCCTCCTGGCAACCCTTCTAGAGAGGTTCTGTGTGCAAGGCAAACTTGCTTTGTTCCTTTGCAATGTGTCATGAAATAAACAGCAGAGAGCATGGAATACATCTTCTTGTGTTGCTTTGCATCTTTCTTTGCCTTTTCTCCTCTTTTCTTCCACTCTCACTGCTCTAGGTTCTCACTTTCCCAAAACAGTTTTAGGATCTTAATTCTTCTTTCAGCCTCTGTTTTCTAGAGGACTTAGTCTAACACAAGGGATTCATTAATAGTAATAATAATAATAATAATAGTCATGTCTCAAAATGAACTTATGTTGTGCCTGGTGCTGAGCCACACCCTTTCTCTGGATTATTTCCTATAAAGCTCCCAATAGCCCTAGGAGATTGTATGATCTTGCAGGTGAGGAAGCAGTCACTCAGAGATGTCTTCCTTAAGTTCACACAATCATTGCAATGCTTTATCTTTAGAAACATGCATGTTATTCAAAGAAGAATGGACAATTTCTGGATACTTGTAAAAAATAGAAACGTGCTATTTTCAGACTGACTTTATATAGCATTCCTTGGAGAACTAGCTTCTCCCCTGCTTCACAAATATTATGACTCAGAAATGCAATGGCTGTGATAGCACACAATAAAGATTCTACACAATAAAGATTCTAAATATTAAATAGAATATTTAATAACAGAAGGTTGAGAAGGTTTTGTCTGAATAAGAAGCTTACTAATAATGTGCATGGGTAAACACAGAACACCTCTCTTGCCCGTAAGTAGTGATAATAATAGTATTGGAAAATGTTGGCCAAAATATAATTTTATGTAAAAAATAAATCCATGAAAATTTAAAAGCTAATTTCAGAAAAAAAAAAACCACTTAAAGCAACTTATATAAATAATGTAGGCAGATTTGGATCTATTAATGGGTTGTGAAATATATTTCACAGGTTGAAACCAGCCTACTCTTGAAACCAGAGTGGGTTGAAACCAGCATGATAAAAAGTAGAAATAGGACAGAATAGTAATGATCCAACCGCATTTAGGAAAGATGTATGTTGTTTTGGGAAGATTTTCTTTGTAAATGTGTTTTAGAGTATATGTGAGTGTATGCTAGGGTTATGATGTAAATCTCTTTATTGTGGTAGAAAAGAGTTGTAAAAACACTGATATAGTTGCTGACAATATCACAAGGTTTATAAAACAAAAAGAAAACATATTTTTGGAGTCACAGACATCTACATTGAAATACCTACCCAACCATAATTCATTCATTCCTTCCTTCCTTCCTTCCTTTCCTCCTTCCTTCCTTCCTTCCTTCCTTCCTTCCTTCCTCTCTCTTTCTCTCTCTTTCCCTTCCTTCTTTTCTTTTCTTTTCCTTTTCTTTTTCTTTTTCTTCTTCTTTTTCTTTTTCTTTTCCTTTTTCTTTTCTTTTTTCTCTCGAGGTTTCACACGGTCGCCCAGGCTGAAGTACAGTGGCCCTGTCTTGGCTCACTGCAACCTCTGCCTCCTGGGTTCGAGCAATTCTCCTGCCTCAGTCACCTGAGTAGCTGGGATTACAAGTGTGCGCCACCACACCCGGCTAATTTTTGTATTTTTAGTAGAAATGGGGATTCACCATGTTGGCCAGGCTGGTCTGGAACTCCTGGCCTTAAGTTATCCGCCTGCCTTGGTCTCCCAAAGTGCTGGGATTACAGGTGTGGGCCACTGTGCCCGGCCCCAGCCATAATTTTCTTTTGAGTCTAAGTCGAGTCTGTTTACTCATCAGCTGCCCACCAATGAGAGAGTCTTCTGGAAAAGCGTTAGAGGCCCTCCTGTTTTTTTTTTTTTTCCTTCCAGACGGAGTCTCTCTCTGTCACCCAGGCTGGAGTGCTATGAGGCCATCTTGGCTCACTGCAACCTCCATCTCCCGGGTTCAAGCAATTCTCCTGCCTCAGCCTCCTGAGTAGCTGGGATTACAGGCACCATGCCCAGCTAATTTTTATATTTTTAGTAGAGACAGGGTTTCACCATTTTATCCAGGCTGGTCTCGAACTCTTAATCTCAAGTTATCCACCCACCTCGGCCTCCCAAAGTGCTGGGATTACAGGCCTGAGCCATGGTGCCCGGTCCCATATTTTCTTGTCTTAAGGAAACCCATGTCTCTTAATGCTTAGAAAACATACGGAAATACATCTCTTGGAGGCTGTGCTCCAGTCATGCTTCTACCCCTGACGGGCTGGACCCCACTGACCTTCCCACCTGATTCTCCCATATCGTCCATTATGGCGGTTTTCTCATTCTCTCAACACCTGGGGAAAATCTTAAGGTTGTTGAGGGCTCAGAGCTAACACTTGACTCAGACACATTTTTGGCACAGAAAATGTTTATTCTCAAAAGGATTTCTTTCCAGATGGTTCACACCTGAGACCTGACTAAGTACCCAAGCTTCAGGAAGATTCTTGGGATGGAGAAGACAAGGAGGAAATCTAGGCATGGTGAAATGGAAAACAATTAAACTCAGAAGGAATTTGAATTCGTTTTTGGCAAGGACCCTCCACGTTTTCCAAGGCTTGCTGCCTAAACATCAATTCAGTCCGCCTCTTGCAGGTGTGTGTATGACGCAGAGGGAGTCATTTCATGGCAGAAGTGTAGGCTGGAGAAGACCTGGCTAAATTTCAGAATAGATGGGCTGAGGATGGGGAGGGAACTTTACTTCCCCTCAGTGTTTCTCCATCTCTGTCCTTTGCAACTAGCTGCTTCCTCTCTGAAATTTTAACTTCTATTCCTGGAGCAGAGAACATTTTTAAATTCTATCAAACTCAGTAAAGACTCCAACACAATTTTTTAAAATAAAAATTACCTCCAAAAATGATCAAAGGAAGGTACAATAATTGTAGGCAACATTAGCAATAAAGAGAAACAAAAAAGAATAAAATTCATGTGACTATCACCTCATCACACAGAGGAAATTATGATTTATTCCTTGGTCTATATTCTTCCAGACCTTCTTAACACATATAACACATACTTTGTCCATTTTGTTTTGCTGTTTTGATTATCCTTGTCTCTTAAATTTCAAAAATAACCATGCTAATTCCTTAGGATAATTCTAGAAGTAAGTATCATAACTCTATTTTCTGAGTCAAACAGTACACGTATTCCAAAGGTCTTCTCTTCAGTTTCCATACACATTCCCAGTCTCTCCTCTCCTCTCCAACCTTCATAGGCAGCCCGGAGATGTGACAAGACTCACAGCACTGCTGTTCTGGTTTACTCTGTCATATCTCCGTTTGCTGAAGAATTATTTGATAAAAGACCATGTCTGGTTATTCTCCCAAATGTAAATATTTTTATCCATCTGCTATATGATTAAAATGAGTTCATGGGATAAACTTGATAAATCTTGGATACAAATATTATGAACTGAAGTTTATTGGTATGAGTGTTTACAAGTATAAGCACAACCAGGAATCATAGAGGAATTAGCTTTTCCTGTGCTTAAACATGACTAATGGCAAGAGAGTCAGGGGAGCTTGTCTTCTAAGAGGTATCATTAAAAGGGCAACATTGGAGCAAGAAAAAGTTACAAAGTAGGAAAAGCAATCTTTTAGGCCATATTAAGAATGTTTGACTTTATCCTAACAGTAACAGCAAACTACTGAAGGAGAGGTAGAGGGTAACCTGTTTGGATTGACATTTTGAAAAGTTTACTTTCACTTCAATGTAGAAAATGGACTGGTAGAGGCCGGGTGTGGTGGCTCACACCTATCATCCCAGCACTTTGGGAGGCTGAGGCGGGCAGATTGCCTGAGATCAGGAGTTTGAGACCAGTCTGCCCAACATGGTGAAACCCCGTCTCTGCTAAAAATACAAAAAAATTAGCCAGGCGTGGTGGCGTGTGTCCGTAATCCCGGCTACTCAGGAGGCTGAGGCAGGGGGATTTCTTAAACCAGGGAGGTGGAGGTTGCAGTGAGCTGAAATCACGCCACTCCACTCCAGCCTGGGCAACAGGGTGAGACTCCATCTTGGGAAAAAAAAAAAGAAAAAGAAAATAGATTGGTAGAGTAAGCAAGAGAGGATGTTGGAAGGTCTTGGTGATTAATAGGACTATGGAATTCAACAGAGACTGAGGCATTGAGGATGATCCCTAAATATACAATAGTGCTAACTTTTCTATGAGAGTAGGAAAAATAACAATAGGTGATAGGTGCGTGTGTGTGTGTGTGCATGAGTGTGTGTGTGTTTCTGCATACTTACATTTTTCTTTTTGCAAAAAAAAAAAAAAAAACCCAAAACAACAAAAAATCCTCACAAACACTAAGAATAACCAGAAACGAGGAAATTGCTTACCCATAGAGAAGAACTGTGAGAGTAATAGGGGAGGGTGTGACTTCTCAAATATACCTTTTATTTTAGTTTTTTTTATTTTTTTTTCTTCTTTTCTTTTTTTTTTTTTCCTCTGGCAGGTCGTGGTGACCCACACCTGTAATCCCAGCACTTTGGGAGGCCAAGGTAGGTGGATCACTTGAGGTCAGGAGTTCCAGACCAGCCTGGCCAACATGGTGAAACCCCATCTTTACTAAAAATACAAAAATTAGCAGGGCGTGGTGGCGTATGTTGATGATCCCAGCTACTTGGGAGGCTGAGGCAGGAGAATCACATGAACCTGGGAGGTAGAGGTTGCTGTGAGCCGAGATCACGCCACTGTACTTCAGTCTGGGCAACAGAATGAGACTTTGTCTCAAAATAAATAAATAAATAAATAATAAATAAATTTAAAGAAAGCCCCCCCCACCCTTTTTTTTTTTTCTTTCCAACTTTTATTTTAGGTTCAAGGCGTACATGTGCAGGTTTGTTACACGGGTAGATTTTCACAGGAGTTTGGTATGCAGATTATTTTATCACTCAGGTAATAAGTGAAGTACCCAATAGGTAGTTTTTCAATCCTCACCCTCCTCCTACTCTCCATCCTCAGCTAGGCCCCAGTGACTATTGTTCCCTTCTTCGTGTCTGTATGTATTCAATGTTTAGCTCCCACTTATAAGTGAGAACATGTATTTGCTTTTCTGTTCCTGCATTAATTTTCTTGGGATAATGGCCTCCAGCTCCAACCATGTTGCTGCAAATGACAGGATTTTGTTCTTTTTTGTGGCTGTGTAGTATTCCATGGTGTATATGTACCACATTTTCTTTCTCCAATCCACCACTGATGGGTATTTAGATGGATCCCATGTCTTTGCTATTGTGAATGGTACTGTGATTAACATGTGTGTGCTTGTGTCTTTAAGGCAGATATTTATTTTATTTTTGTTTGGGTGTATACTCAGTAATGGGATTGCTGGTCAAATTGTAGTTCTGTTTTAAGTTCTTTGAGGAATCTCCAAACTGCTTTCCACAGTGGCTGAACCAATTTTCATTCCCATCAACAGTGTATAAGCATTCCCTTTTCTCTGCAACCCTGCCAACCTCTGTTATTTTTTGACTTTTTAATGATATCCATTGTGACTGGTGTGAGATAGTAGTTCATTGTGATTTTGATTTGCATTGATTAATGATGTTGAACATTTTTTCATTTGCTTGTTGGTTGCTTATATGTCTTTTTTTGAGAAGTGTCTATTCATGTCCTTTGTCCATTTTTAAATGGGGTTGCTTTTTGCTTGTTACTTTGTTTAAATCCCTTATAGATTCTGGGTATTAGACTTCTTGGATGCAGAGTTTGCAAATAGTTTTCCCATCCTGCAGCTTGTGTGTTACTCTGTTGATAGTTCCTTTCACTGTGCAGAAGTTCTTTAATTAGGTCCCATTTGTCAATTTTAGTTGTGGTTACAATTGCTTTTGGAGTCTTTGTCATGAAATTTTTGTCAGGTCCTATGTGCAGAATGGTATTTCCTAGGTTTTCTTCTAGGGTTTTTATCGTTTTAGGTTTTACACTTAAGTCTTTAATCCATCTTGAGTTGGTTTTTGTATATGGTGAAAGGTACGGGTCCAATTTCAGTCTTTGCATATGGCTAGTCAGCTATCCCAGCAGCATTTATTGAATAGGGAGTTCTTTCCCCATTGCTTGTTTTTGTTTACTTTGTTGAAGATCAGATGGCTGTAGGTATGAGACTTTATTTCTGGGTTCTCTAACCTGTTCCATTGGTCAGTGTTTCTGTTTTTGTACCAGTACCATGCTGTTTTGGTTGCTGTAGCATTGTAGCATAGTTGGAATTCAGGTAGTGTGATGCCTTCAGTTTTGTTCTTTTTGCTTAGGATTTACTGGCTCTTCAGGCTCCTTTTTGGTTCCATATTAATTTTAAGATAGCTTTTTCAAATTCTGTGAAAAATATTGGTAGTTCGATAGGAATAGCATTGAATCTATACATTACTTTGGGCAGTATGGTCATTAAACAATATTGATTCTTCCTATTCATGAGCATAGAATGTTTTTCCATTTGTTTGTGTCATCTCTGATTTCTTTCAGCAATATTTTGTAACTGGTGTTGTAGAGATCTTTTATGTTACTGGTTAGTTGTATTCCTAGGTTTTTTTTTTTTTTTTTTTTTTTTTTTGGCTATTGGGACTGGGATTGTGTTCTTGGCTTGGTTCTGAGCTTGGATGTTGTTGGTGTATAGAAAGGTTACTAATTTTTGTGCATTGATTTTGTATCCTGAAACTTTGCTGAAGTTGTTTATCAGATCTAGGAGCTTTTGGGTAGAGACTATGGGGGTTTTCTGGATATAAAATATTATCTGTGAAGAGAGATAGTTTGACTACCTCTTCCTGTTTGGATGCCTTTTATTTGTTTCTTTTGCCTGACTGCTTTGGCTGGGACTTCTGGTGCTATGTTTAATAGGAGTGGGAAAAGTGGGCATCATTGTCGTGTTCCAGTTTTCAGGGGAAATTCTTCCGGCTTTTGCCCACTCAGTTTGATGTTGGCTGTGGATTTGTCACAAATGGCTTTTATTATTTTGAGATGTGTTTCTTCAATGCCTAGTTGTTGAAGGTTTTTAACGTGAAGTGATGTTGAATTTTATTGAAAGCCTTTTCTGCGTCTACTGCGATAATCATGTGGTTTTTGTTTTAACTTCTGTTTATGTAATGAATTACATTTATTGATTTGAGTATGTTGAAGTAACCTTGCACCCAAGAGATAAAGCCTACTTGATTGAGGTGGTCTAGCTTTTTGATGTGCTAGTCAATTTAGTTTGCTAGGATTTTGTTCCTGATTTGTGCATCTATATTCGTCAGGGATAATGGCCAGGAATTTTCTTTTCTTGTGTCTCTGCCAGGTTTTGGTATCAGGATGATACTGGCCTCATAAAATGAGTTAGGGAGGAGTCCTTCCTCCTTAATTTTTTGGAATAGTTTCAGTAGGGCTGGTACCAGCTCTTCTTTAAATGTCTAGTAGAATTTGGCTATATCCATCTGGACCAGGGCTTTTACTGGTTGGTAAGCTTTTTATTACTGAATCAATTTTGGAACTCGTTATTGGTCTGTTCAGGTTTAAATTTTTTCCTGGTTCAATCTTGGGAAGTTGTGTGTTTCCAGGAATTTATCCATGTCTTCCAGATTTTCTCGTCTATGTGCATAGAGGTGTTTATAATAGTCTTTGAGGGTTTTTTTTGTATTTCTGTTGGATTAGTGGTAATAACCCTTTGTCATTTATGATTGTGTTTGTTTGGATCTTCTCTCTTTTTTATTTGTTAGCCTCACTAGAAGTCGATCACTTTTATCTGTTCTTTCAGAGAACCAATTTTTGGTTTCATTTACCTTTTGTATGTTTTCTTTGCATCTCAATTTCATTCAGTTCAGCTTTGATTTTGGTCATTTCTTGTTTTCTGCTACTTTTGGGGTTGGTTTGCTTTTGTTCCTCTAGCTCCTCTAGGTGTGATGTTAATTGGTTAATCTGAGGTCTTTCCAACTTTTTGATGTGGGCATTTAGCACTGTAAACTCTCCTCTTAACACTGCCTTAGCTGTGTTCCAGAGATTCTGGTATGATGTATCTTTGTTTTCATTCGTTTGAAAATGTTGGAACTCATTATTGGTCTGTTAAAAGTTTCAATTTCTTCCTGGTTGAACCTTGGCAAGTTGTATGTTTCCAGGAATTTATCCATTTAGTTTAGATTTCTTCTAGAGTGTGCATGACAGCACATAGTTTTGACTGTCAAAGAATTTCTTGATTTCTGCTTTGATTTTATTGTTTACCCAGAAGTCATTAGGAGCAGGCTAACTTCCATGTAATTGTATGGTTTTGAGAGGTTTTCTTAGTATTGATTTTTATTTTTATTGTGCTGTGAGAGTGTGGTTTGTATGATTTTGGTTTTTTGGAATTTGTTCAGAACTATTTTATGCAGAGCATGTGGTCAACTTTAGGGTATTTGCCATATGAGAATGAGAGGAATGTATATTCTGTTGTTGTTGGGGTGGAGTGTTCTGTAGATGTTAAGTTTGGGTCTTGAATATCTTTTTTTGTTAGTTTTCTGCCTCAATGATTGGTATAATACTGTCAGTGGAGTGTTGAAGTGGCCCACTGTTATTGTGTGGTTATCTAAGTCTCTTTGTAGCACTCCAAGAGCTTGCTTTATGAACTGGGTGCTCCTGTGTTGGGTGCATATATATTTAGGAAAGTTAAGTTTTCTTGTTGAATTGGATACTTTATCATTATATAATGTCCTTCTTTGTCTTTTTTGATTATTCCTGGTTTGAAATCTGTTTTGTCTGAAATTAGAATAGTAGCCCTGTTCTTTTTTGTGCTCCATTTGCTTGGTAGATTTTTTCTCCAATGCTTTACTTTGAGCCTGTGGGTGTCATTGCACGTGAGATGAGTCTCTTGAAGACGGCATAGAGTTGAGTCTTTCTTCTTTATCCAATTTGCCACTCTGTGCCGTTAGTGAGATGTTTACCCTGTTTACGCTCAAGGTTAATACTGATATATTTGAACCTGTTGTCATGTTGTTAGCTGGCTGTTATGCAGACTTGATTGTGTAGCTGCTTTACAGTGTCAAGGATCTATGTACTTAAGTGTGTTTTTGTCGTGACTGGAAATGTGTTTTTATTTCCATGTTTAGTACTTCCTAGGTCTCTTGTAAGACAGGTCTGGTGGTAACAATTTCCCTTAGCATTTACTTGTCTAAAAAGGATTTTATTTCTCCTTCATTTATCAACTTAGTTTGGCTGGATATTAAATTTCTGGTTGGAATTTATATTCTTTAAGACTGCTGAATATAGGCCCCTAATTTCTTCTGGCTTGTAGGGCTTCTGCTGAAAGATCTGCTGTTAACCTGATGGGTTCCCCTCGTAGGTGGCCTGCCCCTTCTCTTTGGCTGCCTTTAAGATTTTTTTCTCTTACATTGACTTTGGAGAATCTGATGACTGTGTATCTTGGGGATGGGTGTCTTGTTTAGTATCTCACAGGGGATCTCTGAATTTCCTAAATTTGAATGTCAACCTCTCTAGTGAGGTTGGGGACACTTTTGTGGACGATATCCTTAAATATATTTTCTAAGTTGCTTGCTGTCTCTCCCTCTGTTTCAGGGATGACAATGAGTCACAGGTTTCGTCTCTTTACATAATCCCGTATGTCTCAGAGGTTTTGTTCATTCTCTTAAATTTTTTTCTCTTTATTTTTGTCTTTCTGAATTGATTCAAAGAACTGGTCTTCTAGTTTTGAGATTCTTTCTTTAGCTTGGTCCATTTTGTTGTTAATACTTCTGATTGTATTATGAAATTCTTGTATTAAGTTTTTTTTCAGCTCAATTTGGATCTTTCTTTCTTTCTTTCTTTCCTTCCTTCCTTCCTTCTTTCTTTCTTTTTTTTTTTTTGTCTCACTCTGTTGCCCAAGCTGGAGTACAATGGTGTGATCTTGGCTCACTGCAACCTCTGCCTCCCGGTTCAAGCAGTTCTTCCTCAGCCTCCCAAGTAGCTGGGATTACAGTTGTGTGCCACCACACCCCACTAATTTTCGCATTTTTAGTAGAGATGAGGTTTCACCATGTTGGCCAGGCTGGTCTCGAACTCCTGACCTCAAGTGATCAACCTGCCTTGGCCTCCCAAAAGTGCTGGGATTACATGCGTGAGCCTCCATGCCTGGCCAGTTTGGTTATTTCTTAAAATGACTATTTCATATTTCAACTCTTGTATCATTTTATTGGATTTCTTAGATTCCTTAGATTGGATTTTGATTTTCTTCTGAATCTTGATGATCTTCATTGCTCTTCAGTGTCTGAATTCTATGTCTGCCATTTAGCCATTTCAGCCTGGTTAAGAACCTTTGCTGGGGAGCTAGTGTGGTCATTTCGAGGTAAGAAGATACTGTGGCTTTTTGAGTTGCCATAGTTCTTGTACTAGTTCTTTCTTATCTCTGTGGATAATCTTTGAAGTTGCTTTCCTTTGGATGGGTTTTTTTATTTTATGGGTTTACTTTTATATTCTTTGATGTCCTTCAGAGTTTTGACTGTGGTATAAGTTGGGTTTAGTTGACTGGCCTTGTTTCTGGATGATTTTAGGGGGTCAAGGCTCAATTCAGCACTCCTGGGCTGTGTGCTCTAACCTTGCGGGGCTAAGACCTGCCCCACAGGTTTGCTCTCTTGCCCCTCGAGGTTAAGTGCCTTTTGCATTGGAGGGGCTGAGGAGTGTTCCTGATTTGCTGGTAACCACACTCCAATGGGGTGGGGGAGCGTGCCAGCAAAAGTGCTTTGTTGGGGTGGTGGCAGCAGGATCCATATTCATGTGTGTGCCAGTAGTGGCAGTGTGAGGCAGTGTACATGGCAGCACATAGTTTTGACTATCATAAACTATGTAGTGTTTTGCATAATCAAAACACAAAATTAAAGCAACATGGATGGGCATGAAACCTAAATTTTAATACAAACAGAAACAAACATTACCATATTTCTATTGAATAATATATCCATACCCTAAAGGAAAATGAGAGTAATCCAAATAACTTCTCTACCTCATCCTCTGATTAAATATCACTAATGTAAAGAGAAAATAACTACTAAGAAACCCTGAATTGTATTTAGTGAGTTTATTATTGGTAATGGTATGAGTGTGGCAATTCTGAAACTATCTTGTGTGTGTTGTATGATCGAGCAAAGGAGGAAATAGATTGATGTTTTGGGGAGTTATGTTTCTGATTGTGGAGAAAGGAGAGAGAATAATGTTATAAGAGAAACCCTGTAGTAGCGAACTGCAAAGAGCCTAGAGGCAACATTGTCCCAAGAGTGTTCAGAGCTTGGTTTCTAGATACTCTCCCCCAGTGAAAGGAACCACTTTGGAGAAATAGCTGATTCCAGGACTGAGAAAAGGAAAATACAAGATAAGCCTGGGACATCTTGTTCCAGAAAGTAAAAGAACTGCTCAAAAATGGATGAGGTCATGTCAAAAAGGACACAGAGCCAGTTTGAAGCGGTTCCACTGGCCAAATATGGAATACTTTGAGAATCAAAATAAATTATTATAGTAATGTATTATAGTTCATTGAAAAAAATAAAAAATTCATGAATCTAGAGGTAGATAGATAAATATATATTAAGAGTATAGCCTTCCTTACTGTAGAATGCGAAGCAATGAATATAGAAGGATTCCAAACATAGTAAAAATTGACTTAGGCAAGAATCATTACTGGATGCTAAAGTTATTAGGTGGTGGAACTTTATGGGAAACAAGATATTACACAGTAAAAATCGTGGTATTGGCACACTTGCAAGTCAGTGAGAAATAGGAGAACAATTGGCTGGAACAATTGGCTATTCATTAGGGGCCAGGAGCATGGATTCCAGAGCCAAAGTGTCTGGGATAAAATCCTGGGCTCTACTGCTTACTTCCTTTGTGACCTTGGGTAAGCTACTTAACCTCTCAAAATTCTATTCTCTCATCTGTGAAACAGGGATAAGCATGCTATGTATTTATGAAAATTTAATGTTACTATTTGTATAATGCAGAAAGGTGCCCACACACATAAAATACTGTATACGTATTAAGTAAATAAATTTGGAGAAATAATTGTAAAATTTAATCGCCACATCATACTAAAACTAGTTTCAGATTAAAGACAAACAAAAAATAATTTTAGAAGGCATTATTTTAATATGCATTATTTTAATAGGCATTACTTTAAATACACTTTAAAGAATTAAAGTGTATTTTAATTCTTGTGCAAGATACAAATAATGTAAACCTTAAAGGAAAATATCAATAAATTAGATCATACTAAAATTAAGAATTCAAAGGCATCTGAAGCTTAATTAGTTCAAAACAGTTTTTTTGTTTTTTCTGTTGAGACAAAGTTTCCCTCTTGTTTCTCAGGCTGGAATGTAATGGCATGATCTCAGCTCACTGCAGTCTCCACCTCCTGAGTTCAAGCGATTATCGTGCCTCAGTCTCCTAAGTAGCTGAGATTACAGGAATGTGCCACCAGGTTTGGCTAATTTTGTATTTTTAGTAGAGACAGGGTTTCACCATGTTGGCCAGGCTGGTCTTGAACTCCTGAACTCAGGTGATTCACCAACCTTGGTCTCCCAAAGCGCTGGGATTACAGGCGTGAGCCACCGCTCTGGACCCAAAACAGTATTTTTAATTTCCCTCTTATTCTAGACTCTTTTGGCATTTTCGATCTCAGAGAACGACACCTTTTCCCATTCAGGCTTTTGTATCTTGCTTATTTTCTTTAAAAATAAATCGGGCCACGTGCAGTAGCTTATGCCTCTAATCCTAGCACTTTGGGAGGCCAAGGTGGGCGGATCACCTGAAGCCAGGAGTTCGAGACCAGCCTGGCCAACATGGTGAAACCACGTCTCTACTAAAAATGCAAAAATTAGCTGGGCATGGTGGCCGGTGCTTGTAATCCCACCTACTCGAGAGGCTGAGGCAAGAGAATGGCTTGAACCTGGGAGGTGGAGGTTGCAGTGAGCTGAGATCACGCCACTGCACTCCAGCCTGAGTGACACAGTGAGACTCTGTCTCAAAATAAATAAATAAATCATGGAAATCATTTTATATCAGTTCATATAGGTTTTCCTTATTGTTTTAAGAAAGATGCACAGTATTGTATTGCAAGGATATATCATTCATGCAATCAATTTTCTATATACCAATTTTTGAGTTGTTTCCAGTATTTTGGCAATTACAAATAATGTCTTAATAAATAACATTGTATATATTTATTTTCATATTGTTGAAAGTAAACTTCAGGGTAAATTCCCAGAAGTCGGATTGCTGGGTCAAAGCATAAAATGTGTATGAAGTTTTGTTAGATATTGCCAAATTTCAATCCACAGAGATTGCATCATTTTGCACACTCATCATCTATATATTAAGAGTGCTCATTACCCTACAGAGTATATCATTGTATGTACTAATTTTGACCACTTTGATAGATGTGAAATGTTTTTCTCGTTTTCATTTGGATTTAATTACAAATGAGATAGAAGTTTCTTTTCATAAGTGTTAGGAACATTTTGTATCTTTTTAGGGGTATATTGTCTACATCATGTATTTTGCCCATTTATCTATAAGGTTTTGGTCCTTCTTTAATCTTGATGTTTACAAGTTCTTTACAGATTAATGATTTTAGTTCTTTATTTGCAATATGCGTTGAAAATATTTTCTCCCAGTTCATCATTTGTCTATGTTTTTGTTTACAGAGTTTTGTGTCATTCAAAAGTTCTTTAAAATTTTTAAAAATTTTTATAGAGTTGAGTTCATGAATCTTTTATTGTATCTAGATTTTTAGACATATTTTGAAAGCCTTTCATCACCAGATTTCAAAGGTATTTATCTGTGTTTTCTTCTAATACTTGCATGGCTTCAGTTTTATAATGAGTTTTCTTATCCATTGGGGTTTTCTTTCTTGTGTGGACTATGAGGATACAATATTATCATCTATATGACTTTTCAATTGTCCTAACCTAACATCATTTACTAAAAGTCTGTCTTGGCCTCAGTAATTAGAGACGTCGACTTTATCATGCATTATACTTCCATATATACTTGTGCCTTCTAATCGATTCCACTGAGTAATCTGTCCATGCACCAGTACAATAATCTTGTAATTAATGGCTTTCTGGTATATTTGCGTATGACAGAGATTTCTGCCTCCACCTGTCCCTTGAGGGCTCTTTTTTTTTTTCAGTGTTTTACTGACCATTCATGCATGTTTATTTTTTCATATAAATTTTAGTATTAAATTATCTCATTTTAAGATAATCAAATCTTTTTGGCATTTTTATGGGGACTTTATTAAATCTGAAAATTAACTTACGGAGAACTGACATTTTTATGACATTGAGTCATTCTCTGCCTATTTGTTTAAGTTCACAAGTTAAGTTTTTGGAAGTGTTAACTTTTCCCTCATGTAGATTTTAACAATTTCTTAAGGCTGTTTCTATTGTAATTGTTATTGTAAATGGGATTCACTCTTCCATTGTTTGTTTTTATATGATGGATACTCTATTGATTGTTGTATATTCATTTTATATCTTGCTATCTTTCTGACTTGTAAAATCATAGGATTTATTGTCTATTCTCTAGATCCATTAAACTTTTATTTTTTTAAGTACTAGGTTTTTCTTTTCTAGAAACTCCCTTTTTTCTTCCAGATATGCTGTTATTTTAATAATCTTTTATTCTTACTCATATTTTCAATTTTCTCTCTTCTTTAAATATTTTAAACATAACTTATTGCATGCTTATGAATCTTCTTATCTAAAGTCTTTGTAGATATGAGTCTGTTGTCCACTTGCTTTATTTCCGTTGGCTATTGCTTATAGTGTCTTACTTCTTTATGTGGTTTTGTGATTTTTTAAAACATCACGTTATTTGTATATCTTGGAACACTATACTTGGAATTGTTCAAGGCCTATGTTTAAAGTGAGCTCCTCTAGAAAGTACTGAATTTGCTTTTGCTAGGTGTTTAGGACCAATATCAACCTGGAACCCATTTAAAATAATTCTTAGCCATGAGCTGTTGAAATTCACACACATCATATGAATTCAGGCTACAAACCTGGATGAAGGCTGTGTTAGGGCTGTACATCTCAGAAGGAAATCTCTCCTCATTTATTTATCCAGGTCCGAGATTAAAAATAAATAAATACATTATTTACTGTTTGCTCTGAGAGCAGGTTTATTTCTGGATCTCACTTTCATGGAAGGTATGACTGTTTACATTGCCAGCTTTCTGTAGGGATCTCCTGGAAAAATTCCTTTTTAGGAGGCCCTAGCCTTGAGCTTGAGAGGCTGTCACAGCAAAACTCAGTCTCTAGGGTTTTGCAGATGCCCCAGGACAAAAGCACGCCTGAGTGTTTGTGCACCTTTCTGGATTCCCGGGAGACTTTTACTAATTTTTGACCTTTATGGATTTTTAAAAACTTTCTCACTAGGTTAACAATGCATCTAGAAAGCACCTATTTAAATATGTTATATAGCTTTTTGGTTGCTTCAGTGGAGAAGTTGTTAAGGGTATGCAGGCTGTCCTAGTTTCACCAGACTTGGAAGTCTAAAGTGATTTCTGAAACATCAAATACATTTAATTTAAAATTAATTAAAATTATCATATAGATATCTATTTCTAGCTATCATTTTTAAATTTTCTTCCCTTCTTTTCACAGGTGTTGGTAGATATCTATTTTTAAACATGGAAAGATGGTGGTGCAATGGCCAGTGAGTACAAAAAGTTAAAAAATTGTAAAAAGTATGAGCCCATCCTTAGAAACCATTCATGGAGATTTTTTCATAGAGAGGAAATTGTTTTATACAAAAGTGATTATTAACAGTAGCTGCTTGGGTGGTTGAATTATGAGTGATTTTTCCTTTTGTTTTCCCTTTTGTAATTTTCCATAATAAACATGGATTATTTGGCTGAAAATATAAAAACCTATTTAAAAATCATATAAATCTGAATGAAACATTTCGATACTAAGCAGGAATAGTGTTAGTCTTTTTCAGTACTATTTCAGTATCTTTTTCAGTTCATCAACTTTGACTTAAAGCCATATTTTATATATAGACAAGCTTTTTTTTTTTTTGACCTCTTGGCAAAATCAGTCTGATGTAGGCTTCTGTCTTCCGTAGAGCTATCTGATTTCCAGAAATGAAAGGCTCTTCCCAATAATGAGGCTGTCAATGGAAAGGGAGCAGAGAATGTGGTTCTTTTTCATTGGAGCCTTCCAAAACTTTGCAAGTAGTTTGAGGAGTTGAAATGGCTGAGATGATGTCTTGCCTGGAAACAGAAAATAGAGATGATCTCCCAAACACTTTCCAGCGGATGATTCTATTATTTTGAATGAGTGTCCTCTGGCTGGAATTAGCTCTTATTTTTTCCACTACCTCATTATAGAAAACTTAACTAACTCCAGATGAAGAATCTTACAGCTTCAACTCTTTTGGAATTGATCTTGTTGACGGGTCTTTCTGGAATTGACCAGGTAAAAATATATACAAAACTTAGTGTGGATACCAAGAAATTATGAACTCTGAAGACGTCGACATCGCAACAGCCCCTTTTCTGGGCAAATTTGCAAGAAAATGCCACACCAATAAGATCAACTGTGTGTAGAAGTGGTTGCTGCTGTGCAATAAAAAAGTTTGGAAAAACAAAAAGAATACCCTTGAGACTCCAGGAAAATTCCACTTGCATACATCATAGAATTATTAAAAAGGAAAGACTGTGTAAGGTCATCCAAATCAATTTCTTTCTTTCAATTAGCCCCCCAGACTTGGTGATGACCAACAGTCATTTTCATTGTGAAGTTCAATTATACCAATATGTACACTATACTTACTATTTTAAAAGACAACTTTTTTTCTAAAACATGATTCAGGTTTAGTAGAATCCCACACCCTCATCAACAGAATTGTTTTCTTCTCCAAGATACAGTTGTGTTTAGGTGTTCAATAAAATAACTGAAAGTCCTTCCAGTGTTACAAATGAATACTAATTGGTCCCTAGTAGTTAGTCAACTATGCTACATGTAACTCATTCCAAAGATCAGACGGATACATTTATTTCGATTGTTGATTTGAAATCTCTCAGTTGAAAGTGCATTTTTGTTCTGTGTAGTAAGGAAAGATTTTTAAATCATGTTCAATTCTATCATCACAGACCCTCATAAATTATTTCATTATCACAAGTGCTGACAGATCCAAACTTGGCAGGTTCACTTCACAGAGGTTTGGAATGAGCTGAAGGTTCATCATCATCTCTCCTCTAGTTTCAGGCCGAGTCCCTGTGCAGAATACCTCTAAGCAAGGAATATATCTAACCCTTTATGGTCCTGGGTCCTTCTCTGGATTTCTGAATGGAAATGTTTTATGTCGTTTGAGATATCAAGCCAATTAATTATGCTGCACGTTGACCCTCATACTGGTGAGGTAGTGCCTCCTAGGGACTGGCTACATCATCACAAGTATCCTTTTTCTTATTTAATTTCTTCATGCCTCCATTTCTTTTTCTTTTTTTTTTTTGAGACGGAGTCTCGCTCTGTCGCCCAAGCTGGAGTGCAGTGGCGCGATCCTGGCTCACTGCAAGCTCCGCCTCCCGGGTTCACGCCATTCTCCTGCCTCAGCCTCCCGAGTAGCTGGAACTACATGCGCCCGCCACCGCGCCCGGCTCGTTTTTTGTATTTTTAGTAGAGACGGGGTTTCACCATGGTCTCGATCTCCTGACCTTGTGATCCGCCCGCCTCGGCCTCCCAAAGTGCTGGGATTACAGGCGTGAGCCACCGCGCCCGGCCGCCTCCATTTCTTTTTCTAAATGGATGATACTACATGCTCTTCCTATATTTATAGGTTTGTGATAAAAATCATGCGTGATAGTTTATTTCAGGAAGCTTTGAAAGTGAAATGGCTATCTCATAAAAATTATTCTTATTATCACTCCTAAAAGTAAGACTTTCGTAAGAAAAACTTCTGAGAAAGTCAGATATGAATACTTGAGTGAGCATCTTTATTTTTATTCTTATTTTTAAGACCTAGTCTCGCTCTGTTGCCCAGGCTGGAGCGCAGTGGCACGATCTTCGCTCTTGGCAACCTCTGCCTCCTGGATTCAAGCAATTCTCCTGCCTCAGCCTCCTGAGTAGCTGAGACTACAAGTGCGCATCACTACACCTGGCTAATTTTTTTTTTTTGAAACCTAGTCTTGCTCAGTTGCCCAGGCTGGAGTTCATTGGCACTATCTTGGCTCACTGCAACCTCTGCCTCCTGGATTCAAGCGATTTTCCTGCCTCAGCCTGAGTAGCTGGGATTACAGGCGCCATGCCCGAGTAATTTTTTGTATTTTTAGTAGAGATGGGGTTTCACCATGTTGGTCAGGCAGGCTGGTCTTGAACTCCTGACCTTGTGATCTGCCTGCCTCGGCGTCCCAAAGTTTTGGGATTACAGGCATGAGCCATCACGCCAGCCTTGAGTGAGCATCTTAATAGTTAAATCTGACCATATCATTGTCCGGTTCAGAAATCCCTTACTCACGCAGAACAAAATCCAAAGTCTGTCTATGCTATCTGGACCTAGCCACGATACTTAATGACATCTGGACCCTCTTCCCACTCTGATCTCACTCTTACTCTTTCCTCTTATGCCCCACAGGCCTCCTAGCTCTTCCAACATCCCTAGAGACTGTTTCTGGGGCTCCCCGCACTCTTCCTCCAGTTAATTCCAAGGGTGGCTGCCTGCTTAAATGCCCTCCTCAGTCACCTCGACCTCCCCCCCCCCCCGCCATCTAAAAGGGCAGCTTGTGTCCATTTTCACCCCTGGGTCTTAACTTTCTTTCCATCACTAACCAGTGACATTATATTATATATTTCTCTGTTCCGTGTTTTCTGTCAGTCTCTTCCATGAGTAAACTCCAGATGGAAGGAACTTTTTTGCTGTGTATCCGTGATACCTAGAATTTCATCGGGCAGGTCAAAGGGGATGGATGAACACGGAAGTAAGTGAATGGTCCCTGAGCCTTCTGCCAGCTGCTCTCTTGGTTGCAGCATGTGGCACACAGGTGGACTTAGGTAGATGCCTTAAAACCGATGACAGCCACATGGGAAGGATGGAAGAGACATAACTGATTAACTTTGTTCAATTCAACGTAGCAAACATTTACCAAGTCCCTATTACGAATAAGATCCTATGTTGGAGTTGATAATTCGCACATCTGCTTCTCTAAAAAAGGCTTATAATAGGTGGTTTCCATACAGACGAAACTAAAGCAGAAAGACTTCCTCAGCCAGCTAAGACCACTTCTTCTGATTTCTGCTGAAATAAAATGTAAGTTGACAAGGCTTTTTGAAACCTCTACTATGAGCAAGGCACTGTGCTGCTTATTATCTTGATTGAAACATTTCACAAGGATGTCACTCTTTCAGCTTTAAATAATGGCAATCTAATACTCAGGATAAAGAATTTGTGCAGTACTACAGCATCAGATTATAGACTTTTACAGAACTACATTAACCTGAGTGCTTCTAAAGGTACAAATGTCAAAGTTATTAGAATTCCGTTAATTCTGATAATGTACCCACAGTGTTCATTGATGTGAACTTTTGATGGAGATGAGAATAAAAGTGCCACTACAAATTAGTCAGAAACATATATTTTTCTCATTATTATTATTATTATTATTATTTTGAGATGGAGTCTTTCTCTGTCGCCCAGGTTGGAGTGCAATGACGTGATCTCGGCTCACTGCCTCCTGGTTTCAAGCGATTCTCCCGCCTCAGGCTCCTGAGTGGCTAAGATTACAGGTGTGTGCCGCCACACCCAACTAATTTTTGTATATCTAGTAGAGACAGGGTTTCGCCATGTTGGCCAGGCTGGTCTCGAACTCCTGACCTCAGTGATCAACCTGCCTCAGCCTCCCAAAGTGCTGGGATTACAGGTGTGAGTCACCATGCCCAGTCTTTTTCTCATTATTAGCTGAACATTTAGGACTCATTTTTGTGCAAATATTCATACAATTTATTTCTGGTATGTTTACCTATACAATTTCATAGGAGTGAATTTTAAATGCACACATATATTAGGGCCTCATTACCCAAAAGTCCTGGAATAAAAATAGTGGAAGATACAGAGCAGTATCTGGCACAGTTAACATTAGTTAACAGTGAGGACTTACTGTGTCCCTGACACTCTTCTGGAGGCTCGAAGGGATTAATTAAATTAGATGGATTAATTCATTTGATAGTTACACATGCCCATGAGTACCATGGTGGGTACTCTTACTATTCCCATTTAACATACTAAGAAACAGGCACAAAGAGGTTAAGCATCTTGTCCCAAGGTTAGTAGTGGTGCCAGAATTCTGCACAAGAATCTGTGCTTTTAATCACTGCGTTATGAATGAACATGCTCCAAGGAAGCATGCATTCCACCTGGGCAGACAAAAAAGAAACACTCTAGGCCCCCTTCTGCGTGGTCACGCGGAGCCAGCGCCTGGGCCTGGAACAGGGCCGTAGTCCCCCAGCTGCGCCCACCACCTCTCTACCATGGACTCCCGCAAAGTGAACGAGCTTCAGGCCTTTGTGAAAATGTGTAAGCAGGATCTGAGCGTTCTGCACACCGAGGAAATGCGCTTCCTGAGAGAGTGGGTGGAGAGCATGGGGGGTAAAGTACCACCTGCTACTCAGAAAGCTAAATCAGAAGAAAATACCAAGGAAGAAAAACCTGATAGTAAGAAGGTGGAGGAAGACTTAAAGGCAGACGAACCATCAAGTGAGGAAAGTGATCTAGAAACTGATAAAGAAGGTGTGATTGAAACAGACACTGATTCTCCTCAAGAAATGGGAGATGAAAATGCAGAGATAACGGAGGAGATGATGGATCAGGCAAATGATAAAAAAGTGGCTGCTATTGAAGCCCTAAATGATGGTGAGCTCCAGAAAGCCATTGACTTATTCACAGATGCCATCAAGCTGAATCCTTGCTTGGCTGTTTTGTATGCCAGGAGGGCCAGTGGCTTTGTCAAATTACAGAAGCCAAATGCTGCTATCTGAGACTGTGACAGAGCCATTGAGATAAACCCTGATTCAGCTCAGCCTTACAAGTGGCGAGGGAAAGCACACAGACTTCTAGGCCACTGGGAAGAAGCAGCCCATGATCTTGCCCTTGCCTGTAAATTGGATTATGATGAAGATGCCAGTGCAATGCTGAAAGAAGTTCAACTTAGAGCACAGAAAATTGCAGAACATCGGAGAAAGTATGAGCGAAAATGTGAAGAGCGAGAGATCAAAGAAAGAGTAGAAACAGTTAAGAAGGCTGGAGAAGAGCATGAGAGAGCCCAGAGGGAGGAAGAAGCCAGACGACAGTCAGGAGCTCAGTATGGCTCTTCTCCAGGTGGCTTTCCTGGGGGAATGCCTGGTAATTTTCCCGGAGGAATGCCTGGAATGGGAGGGGCCATGCCTGGAATGGCTGGAATGCCTGGATTCAATGCAATTCTTAGTGATCCAGAGGTTCTTGCAGCCGTGCAGGATCCAGAAGTTATGGTGGCCTTCCAGGATGTGGCTCAGAACCCAGCAAATATGTTAAAATGCCAGAGCAACCCAAAGGTTATGAATCTCATCAGTAAATTGTCAGCCAAATTTGGAGGTCAAGCGTAATGCCCTTCTGATAAATAAAGCCCTTGCTGAAGGAAAAGCAACCTAGATCACCTTATGGATGTCGCAATAATACAAACCAGTGTACCTCTGACCTTCTCATCAAGAGAGCTGGGGTGCTTTGGAGATAATCCCTACCCCTCTCCCCCAAATGCAGCTGAAGCATTTTACAGTGGTTTGCCATTAGGGTATTCATTCAGACAATGTTTTCCTACTAGGAATGACAAACTTTAAACACTTTTTAAATATTCAAAATATTTAAAACAAATTTAAGTGTCTGTTAAGTCTTATATTTTTCTTTACTAATCATTTTGGATTTTTTTTTCTTTGAATTGGGCAGGGAAGATATGTATGGAAGATTATTGCTCTAATTTGAGTGAAATAAAAGTTATTAGTGTGAGGCAAAAAAAAAAAAAAAACCAAAACAAGAAATACTCTAAAAAGCAGAGTTGAGAGAAGAGCTCTCTCAAATTCATACGTATATATTTTCCAAAATACACAATAATGACTATAAGGGATCAAAGGAGCCAAAGATAAGTACTACCTGGGGTAGTTTTGAGCAGGAACTTGAAGGAGGGGTGGGTTCTGTTTAGGTAGATGGGAATAGAAAAGTGTTCGTATGGTTTAACATCAGACAAAGGGCAGAATTAGGAAAATTCTATTTGGGGATCAGGGAATAATACAAGAGCAAACTTTTAGGAAGTGCTTACTAAATAATAGGTGAAGAGCTTTCCAGATATTATAAAATTAAATCTCCTAAACATGATACATGCTACAATGTGGATAAAGTAACATGTCTGGCTCTGTGTGACGTCAAAACTCACACCCTTAATCTACATTATAAAGTTTGTCTAGGAAGTTGAGTGGACATAAGACAGGAAAGTTAGGCTAAGGCAGACATGGAGGAACTTGATTACTAAGCCAATATATTTACACCATATTCTGTTTGAAGGAGCCACCACTGGGAGGATCAGAGCAGGTGAAGGATGTGAGTAAAGCAGGTTTGCTCCTGCAGGAATATAGAGACTATTGATCTCAACCTTGGCTGTGTGCTAGAATCACTGAGAAGCTTCTAATAAAATACCCGTCTGCCCCTGCTCCTGGTCAGCTAAATAAGAATCTCTGGGTTGGCCAATTCCCTCATTTACTTAAAACTTTCCATTGCCAAGATAAAGTCAAAATACTTACCTTGGCATACAAGGTTGTCCAAGGTCTGATCCTTGTTCACCTCTTGTGTCTCATACCACCCTTCTTTATTTATTTATTTATTTATTTATTTATTTATTTATTTATTTAGAGACAGGGTCTTGTTCTGTCACCCAGGCTGGAGTGTGGTGGCGCGATCTTGGCTCACTGCAACCTGTGCCTCCCAGGCTCAAGCAATCCTCCCATCTCAGCCTCCAGAGTACCTAGGACTACAGGCACATGTCATCACGCCTGGCTAATTTTTAATTATTATTTATTATTTTTTTGTGTGTGTAGAGATAAGGTCTTACTGTATTGCCCAGGCTGGTTTCCAACTCCTGGACTCAAGTGATCCTCCCAAAGTCTTGGGATTACGAAGTCTCTGATCCACTCTACCTGGACTTAAGTCTCTTTCCTCTGATTTCACCAAACTCTGCTCATTCAAAATAATTTGGGCCTGTGCAAGCTCTCTCTTGCCCAATGACTTTGTTTTCTTTTTGTTTTTTTCAATTGTTTCATTGAAAACCCAAGGACTTCTTAAAAGCTTTTCTTTCTTTTCAGAATACTTTTGTTTCATATCTTCTCAAGGCTGACTGTCTCTCTTTTTGTCAGCCTAAAGGTCACCTCCTCACCTATGTACTTCTTGATCATTCTACCTGAATAAGTTGCATAATACCTGCACTCTCACGCCTCAAAGCGCTACCATCAGAGCACTTCATGTTTTGTTAGTGTGTGTTTGTGTAGCTGGACTCTAAACTCCACAAGGCCAATGGACTTGTTTTGCTCACCCCATGTGTACTCAGAGCCCAGCAGTAATATCTGTGGCATAAATTAATGAGAAGGCATATCTTAAATAACTTAGTTAATGTCACCCAACTCATGAGGGCAAAGCCTGGAGACAAACACAAGCTCTAAACCATCGTGGTGCTCTGCTGGAATATGGTGGTTTGCTCATTCATTCTTGCTTTTGTTCATTCATTCAGAGAACATGTTTTGGATTGATAATATGTGCTAAGCCAGTTGCTAGGGACACAAATAAAATGGTCGTTGATCCTGAGAACATAATCTGGACAACTTTAAGTGAATACAGTCACAGAGGGAGCAGGGCACTGCCAACTGATTTCAGTGCTCAGCTTGGTTTCCTCTAAGCTTCTGTACTGAGGCTACTGCAGAGTAGAGACATTCTCAGTCTAGTGGCCCATGGTGAATTTTCAGACAAATCTGAAGGTTTTGGATTGAAATAGTAAAAAGTTTGAGAACAAAAGTTTCATCAATTAATTAACACGTCAAAGGGTATAGATCAGAAGAGACACTATGAACCACAACTTACATGAATAACAGCTAAAAACAAAACAAATAATAATTTTCGCAGAATACTTCACTGCAGCATAACAAACAGAATTTTCCAAAACCCAGACCCATACAAGATTTTCTCTCTCATGCCTTCTCTGTCTCTCTGCTCTTTCAATTCTCTAAGAGAAGAGATCTCTGTGGTTTTCTCTTTATTTCTAGCTCTGTGTGCTTCTCATTTCTCTGGAAAATCTAAAATGTCCTCAGTGAAGACTTTCTGGCCCTCTTCAATCTTCCCAGGGCTGATTCTTGAAATGTTGCCTTAGGATGTCTTTCCTTTGGTTTAAAGTTTGGCTCCTATTAATATTTTAAGTGTCTCTTTAGTCTTAGTGGATATATCTTGGTGGTTATATATTACCCCAAATTTTTTTCTAGGGTGTAGGTTCTTGGAGGAAGTCTCACCAGAGGCCTGAGGCTAGCCTTGGTGAATCCGTGAACTGTGCTGTATATGGGAGCAACAGCATGAATAGCAGGATATAATCTGAGACATAGCTTTAGGCTCGATGTACAATGCAATTACCACTTCTTTTCCTTTAGCAACATATTGGTTTGACCAATAGGCAACAGGTAACAGGTAACAATGCTTCATCCTTGTCATCAGTTTTCACTGTTTTTTGCGGGGGTGTGTTGTTATTGTTTCTTCTTCAGAATAGTCAAGTAATTTTCCTTAAAAGACAGAAAAAATAGGCAACATGAAATTAAGCTGATTAAAAGAATGTGAATGGGGAAATAGATCAGCATAGTGTTAAGGATATTAGCTTTGGTGACATTTGAATTCTTACTCCATTTGCAGACTCCATAGTAATCTTGGTAATCTCCTCTCTCCACCCGAGTTCCCTCTTCTGAAAATAAAGAGTGTAATAGTACCACTTTATAGACCCCTAGAGATGCTTCTCAGCTGGCCTACTCTTCTGGTAAGGGCATGAGTCCCATCAGGAGTGCTCGACCCTCATGACCTCATTTATACCTAATTAGCTACCACAGGCACTACTTCCAAACACCACCATATTGGGGGTTAGGGCTTCAACCTATGAATTTTGGGAGGACACAAATATTCAGCCCAGAGCCATGGGATAAAAAGAGTTGGTGCTAAAATAAGAAGGATTGGGTGGAAGATGTTTAAAATTTCTAGTCCCTCTCCTTAATGCTACACTCCTGTATGTTGGTAGAAAACCGAGGTTTATTCTTTGGAGAAGGAAAAACGTGGAGGTGTGAGCCTGAGAGTGAACCCATGCAGTGGAGAGTACAGGTGTGGTACTGACAATAGGGGATTAAGAGGCCATATGCATAAGGAGTGCTGATTTCAAAGTCCTCAAGCTGACTCGTTCAATCAGAACTCTGGCAGCCAGATTTATCCTTGAGGCAAGGGACAGGAAGTGCACTCTTTGAGAAAGCTGCCCGCCCAAGAGGAAAGAATAAAGATACTGACCCTGGGGCTTCTTAACAAAGGGCTACAGTGAAGGTCACCCTAAAAAGCAGGGGCTCACATTCAGCTTCCAATCCCTTTTTCAGTCTCCCACTCTGCGTTTGCTCTCCTTTCTTTTTATATCTCAGAAGTTTACTTTGAAAAATTAAAATCTTGGGGTGGGCATGGTGGCTCACACCTGTAATGTCAGCAGTTTGAGAGCAAAGGCAGGCGGATCACTTGGGGCCAGGAGTTCGAGAACAGTGTGGCCAACATGGTGAAACCCTGTCTCTACTAAAAATACAAAACGTAGCTGAGCATGGTGAGCGCCTGTAATCCCAGCTGCTCGGGAGGCTGAGGCAGAATAATCGCTTAAACCCGGGAGGCAGAGGTTGCAGTGAGCCGAGATCGTGCCACTGTACTCCAGTCTGGGAGACAGAGTGAGAGGCTGTCTGAAAAAAAAAAAGCAACTACAGAAAAGTTGAAAGATTAGTGCAAAGGATACCCGTACAGTCTTTACATAAATTCAACTGTTAACATTTTGTATACCTTCTCTTGCTCTTTCTCTACACAGACTTTTTTTTTTTTTTTTTGAGACGGAGTCTCGCTCTTTTGCCCAGGCTGGAGTGCAATGGCGCAATCTCGGCTCACCGCAACCTCCGCCTCCCAGGTTCAAGCAATTCTCCTGCCTCAGCCTCCTAAGTAGCTAGGATTACAGGCATGCACCACCACGCCTGGCTAATTTTGTATTTTTAGTAGAGACGGGGTTTCTCCATGTTGAGGCTGGTCTCGAACTCCTGACCTCAGGTGATCCGCCCACCTCGGCCTCCCAAAGTGCTGGGATTACAGGCGTGAGTCACCGCGCCCGGCGACATTTTTGGTTTGTTTTTTTGGAACCACTTTCTCATACTCAGGCCACCAAGGAATAGCAGAAATCTAAGTAAAGTTCCTAATGTGGAGATGGAATTCCAAACAAACAAGGAGACGAAGTCTTTTGGAAAATAAAGTCTATGCAGAGAGAAAAAAGCTTTAAAAAAACACAATTGTTAATATCTTCACAGAGGTTGTGCCTATGAAACAAGGATAGGATACTATTATAAAAACCTTTTAAAAAACACAAAATAGATGTATTGGAAATCAAAATGTAATAACAGAAATTAGAAACTAAAATATAAAGACCAGGCACAGTGGCTCATGCCTATAATGCCCGCACTTTGGGAAGCCAATATGAGTGAATCTCTTAAGGCCAGGATATCAAGAAATTAAAATAAAATTTAAAAGTAAGGTGACAAAATCCATAAGGTAGAACAAAAAGACAAAGAAACAGTAAAGAAAAAGTAATAACATTACAGTATCACTCTTAGAGGTCTATTATTTGAAAAAGGAAATCCAGACAAAAAGAATAGAAAAATAGAAGCGAGGATTTCATTTAATAAGATGCTTAAGGAGATTTTTCTGGAAACAAAGCATGTGAATTGCTAGATTGAAAGAATCTATGGAGTACCTAGTACAATGGATGAAACTGGACCCACATCAAAGCATACCATCATGAAATTTCAAAGCATAGGCGACAAAAAGATTTTATAACCTTGCAGGAGGAGTAGGTTGTTGGGGAGACTGTTCACTCAGAGAGGACCAAAAGTCAGAATGGCTTTTTAATCACAGCAACAATGCAGGAAGCAAGAAGGAAGGAAGGGAGCAACACCTTCACCATTGTGAAGGAATATTATTTCTAAGCTAGAATTCTGTGCCCCTCAAACTTGTAATGAAACGTGAGGGTAAAACACAAGATCTGAAAAATGTGTCTCCTCTCATCACGCACCTATCTTAGGATACCACTGGGGAATATCCTTATTCAACATGTGAGAATGACGTACAACTAGGAAGACATGTACAGTTGAAAACAGGATATCCAGCACATGAGAGAAATAGAACCTGTGGAATGAGAATTGCGCCCAGGTACAGAGGTCAGTGGCAACAGGCTGAATATTTTTGGCCCCCATCCCACAAAGAACCATATGTTGCAGACTAAATCCCCAATGTGGTGGTATTGGAGGTGGGACCTTTGGGAGCTGATTAGGTTCTGAGGGTGGAGCCCTCATGAATGGGATTAGTATTCTTCTAAGAGGAGAGGCAAAAGAGATGATCTCTCTCTCTCTCTCTCTCTCCCCCTCTACCATGTGAGGACACATGAAGACAGCCATTTGCAAACCAATATGTAGGCCCTCACCAAGCACTAGAGCTGTTAGTGTCTTGACCTTGGATTTCCCAGCCTTTAGAACTGTGAAAAGTAAATTTGTGTTGTTTAAGCCACCCAGTCTATGGTATTCTGTTATAGCAGCCTGAACTGACTAGGACAGCAGCCATTCAAATGGAAGCAGCCTGGCGCAAAAGACAGATAGTTAAGAGCTGTCATCACCATGCCTGCTACTGTAGAACCAGCTTTTTAACCAGATCAAACTCCTGGAGGATGTACTCAACCAGAGCAAGGGCATGTGCCAGGAAAGAGGGAGCCGTCATATCCAGGAAATCAGAATCCAGTCTTGGAAAAAGGCAAAGCAACTTCTAAGTACAGTAGAAAAGCAAAGGCCAGCATGACAACCAAGTAGCAGCTCTAAGAGGGAAAACTGCCTAAAGAAGGAGAAATGTCTAAAAAAATTTACCTGATGTAAATTGTGGAACCCTGTACTGAGAGGTTGTTGGAAGTAGTAGGAAGAACTAGCAAAAAGCAAAGAGAAAAGTAAGAAAATGAAAAAGCAAGGTCATTTATTAACTTCAGGAAAAACTAAATGTAGAAGGAAAATAATCATTGATGCTTCCATATGAATAATATTTGCATAGCATATGAATGAAAATGCTGAATATAGATTTAACCAAAATTGTAATCTAATCACATTGGGACGATAGAAGAGGAGAAAGGGGGATGGCAGCATAAGAGAGCCTATCCTTTTTGCCATAATAGGAAATATATAAATGATGTTTAAAATTGATTAATAGGGCTGGGCATGATGGCTCATGCCTGTAATTCCAGCATTTTGGGAGGCCGAGGCGGGCAGATCACCTGAGGTCAGGAGTTCGAGACCAGCCTGGCCAGCATGGTGAAACCCTGTCTCTACTAAAAACACAAAGGTTAGCCAGGCATGGTGGCAGGCACCTGTAAACCCAGCTACTCAGGAGGCTGAGTCAGGAGAATGACTTGAACCTGGGAGGTGGAGGTTGTAGTAAGCCAAGATCGTGCCACTGCACTCCAGCCTGGGTGACAGAGTGAGACTCCATCTCAAAAAAAAAAAAAAGATATATATATATATGTGTATATATATGTATATAAAAATAAAACTGATTAATAAGACACATAGCAGTACATGTGCGTTATTTAGAAGTATGGAAATTTTGAAAGTCTCAGAAAAAAACTGCTAAAAGGGTAAAAAATACTTCTGGAAAGCAAGACAGTATTATTTTTACTTTACAAGTTTTCAGTATTATATAACTTTAAAAATTACATGTATGAATTATTTTAATAAAATAATTAAAAAATTGAAATAGTCCATATCGTTTCTCCCAGCATGTCTGGAATCCAAAAGCCTCTCGATAAAAGTTCTTTTTCTTATTGTGATATTGTTATTATTGGAAAGAGTCTTGGCTTTTTGTCAGATGGTATTTAATCTAGTAATATCTGACACTGACTCTTTTTGGGGATTTAAATGGGGCATTTAATTCGTTGGATCTCAGTTTCTTCATTTGTAAAGTGAAGGGGGTTTGGCACATACAGTCATGCATTGCTAAATGACAGGGGTACAGTGTGAGAAATGCATTGTTTAGCAACTTTGCTACTGTGTGAACATCTTAGGATGTACTTACACAAACCTAACTGGGATAGCCTACTGCACACCTAGGCTATATGGCATAACCTATTGCTCTTAGGCTGCAAACCTGTACAGCATGTTACTGTACTGAATACTGCAGGCAACTGTAACACAATGGTAAGTATTTGCCTATCTAAACATAGAAAAGGTACAGTAAAAACGTGACGTTATAATTTATTCTTATGGAACTACCGCTGTATATGCAGTTCTTTGTTGACCAAAATGTTGTCATGCCACTTGTGACTGAATATATAATCTCTTAGACCTGATCCAGCATTATTGTGCTGTGAATAGGATCTTTTATGCAGAATGCATACACTGATACGACGCTGTCACACATGAAAAACTTGGCTGCTGTTAGGGTCATGACTTTGATCTGGGCCATGGAGCTGAAAAGATGAGGAATGTCTCAATTATTGGTTCAAGAACATGAAAGGCAATTGTGAGAAAGGGAGGGCTCCAGCACCCTAAAGGACAGAAGAAGACAATGTGATTTTCACTCTGAATAAGTCTTAACCTTGCAGAGCTAATGTATTAAATAGGGTGATGGACTTCAATGCAATCGTAAAACAAAAACCCTACAGGAGCATGGGAAGTATCGCTATATTGTTTGGAAAGAAGTCAGCACACTACAGTGGAAAAAGCTCTGGCCTGGGAGTCAAATCATTTGAATTCTAGTGTTCATTTTGTTGTTAATACTCTGGGTAAGTTTGGACAAGCTGTCTCATGGCTTTTGTCCCGGCTTCAGGACTGGTGAAATAAAGGTTGGTTTGGTCGAGTTTCTTCCATTAACAGGGAAATAAATCAAATCTGGAGCTAATGGGGATGTTCATGGACTGAGACAAAAGGTTCAGGAAAAACAGGAGCCAGATGTCCTGGAGCTCTGAGCAGGGCTGGTATTCAAAAGATTGAGCAACCAGGGTGGCACAGGGACAGTCCAATCCGAATGAATGCTGGAAGCTACATTTGAGTGCAAACTAGAGGCCTGCAGCAAATCTACAGGCTACCTCTTCAATTGTGGGGTCAAAAGGGAGATCTGAGGTAGAGGTCCCAGGGAGGGGTGGGGAAGAGGACATTCAGGGTGTTGGAGAAGCAGCTATTTGCCAACCAATATGGAAATATTTCAATATATATATATATTTTGAGATGGAGTTTTGCTCTGCTGCCCAGGCTGGAGGGCAGTGGCGTGATCTCGGCTCACTGCAACCTCTGCCTCCCGGGTTCAAGCAATTCTCCTGCCTCAGCCTCCCTAGTAGTGGGGATTACAGGTCACCACACCTGGCTAATTTAAAAAATATATATTTTTAGTAGAGATGGGGTTTTACCGTATTGGCCAGGCTGGTCTTGAACTCCTGATGTTAAATGATCCGCCCACCTCAGCCTCCCAAAGTGCTGGGATTACAGGCGTGAGCCACCACGCCTGGCCACATTTCAGTATTTTAACAACTGGTATAACTGCAATGGTATGCTCCTGCTGGAGGTGAGAGCGCTATCTGGATATTAGGAGACAGTGTTCCTTCAAGACATCATTTTTAGGATAAACCGAGATAAAAATTCAGGAAACATTTTTTTCTGCCCTTGTGTCCCACCACTTAATACTCGGATTTGAGGGACAGAGTATCTCTTTGGCTTAGTTTAGAGTCTATGCCCACTAACTAGGGGAATAGGTAAAAAAAAAAACGGCAAGCTGAATGACAACCTCCCTGCAGCTGCATACAATGGATTGGAGGTAATTTCCTAAAGGAATTCAGACTTCTGCTACCAAGGGTGAGATACGAAGTACTTAACAGCTGGTACATCAAAGACATCAGTCAGTTAGATGGGACATGGGCCCTTGACTATGAGGCACGGTCTGGAAGACACTCTGCTGTGCTGGCCATCAACCCTCTGTTACCAGCTGTGCTACTGTCAGATCGGGGCAAATACGGGTGTCCCAGAAGCAGGAATGGGGTAGTCAGCATGGATAGGGGATCATGAGAAAGGAGGTCCAGGACTTGGGCCATGGTTATTGCTCATAAGTATGGCATATTATTATCAGCTGGTGCCTGCTTACTGGCTGAGTATGAAGGTAGAATGGACACCAGACTGGGGGAAAAGAATCACAGCTGGGTATTACAGCGAGGTTGGAGTAGAACTGCAAATAATTTGTTCAGCTGAAACTGGGGTTTGCTACAGCTTGTGTGGTGGTATTTTTTGGTTATCACAATGCCCAGGAGATGGTTGGGTGCTATTGGAATTTGGCTGATGGGGCCAGGAATAAGGTAGTCATGCTGTCCCGTCCAGAATGTCAATAGTACCTCTGTTGAGAAACATGGAAAGGAGAATCTTCCAGAAGGGGCAGCTAAGAGAGTACAGTCCTGTGCAACGGGCAGAAGGGGGGGCAGGGGGATAGTACCAGTTTGGGTAACATAGCTGCCATTTATTAATTGTTGGTTATGCATTAGGTCCATAAACACATCTATTATTTAATCCACATGACAATCCCTTGAGATATAATTAATTACCCTCTTTTTTTTTTTTTTGAGACAAGGTATCACTTCGCGACTCAGGCTGTAGTGCAGTGGCCCCATCTCAGCTCACCGCAGACTGGAACTTCTGGTCTCAAGTGATCCTCCTGCCTCACCCCTTCAAGTAGCTGGGACTACAGGTATGTGCCATTACACCTGGGTGTTTTTTGTTTTTTGTTTTGGTAGAGACAGGGCTTCACCATGTTGCCCAGGCTGGTCTCGAACTCCTGAGCTCAAGTGATCCACCTACCTCGGCCTCCTAGAATGTTAGAATTACAGACATCGGCCACTGCACTGGCCATCCCCTCTTTTTTTTTTTTTTTTTTTTTTTTGAGACGGTAGTTCCTCTGTCGCCCAGGCTGGAGTGCAGTGGCAGCATCTCAGATTCACTTGGGCAAGCTCCGCCTCCCGGGTTCATGCCATTCTTCTCTGCCTCAGCCTCCCAAAGTAGCTCCGGGACTAACAGGCGCGCCGCCACCACGCCCGGGCTAGTTCTTTTTATTTTTTTTTAGTAGAGACGGGGTGGGCCATATCCCCTCGTTTTTAAACACGCACTGACGGAGTTAGGCTCAGGGGAGGCAATAACTCACCACTATGTGAGACAAGAAAGAGGGCGAGGGTGTAGCGTGCAGCCTTAGAGAGAAAAAGGATCACAGTCATGGGTCACAGACTTGGAATGAGACCTCTGGGGAAGGAGGAGTTGGCTGTCCTGGAAATCAATTACTGTTTAGAAGCTGGAATTTTTTTGGTTATCTTTGAAAAGACCCCGAGATATTCATATGCAAGGTTTTTGTTTTTGTTTTTTTTTCTGATCGAAGAGGGAAACTTCAGTGGGGTTTTCCCTGGGTCCCCTGTTTCTGTGATTCCAGTTCTCAAGTATATTCCACCAGACTCTGAGACTGGGCCTTAAGATCAGCCGTTGAATAACCCGTCTCTGGAGGCTGACACTCACAACAACACTGCAATACTAAATGGAAACTGATTTGGAAACACAGCCATTTCTGAATTCAACATTAACTGAGGCTTCTCTCTAAACATTTAAAGTTGAAATGCGAAGAAGGTCAAAAGTTTATGAAGGAGGAAGGAAGGATGAGTTAGAATTCTTGAACAGAGGAACCCATTTTATATGAAGTTAGTCAAATCAATACAAATCATCACAATAAGATTTTATCCAAGCAATATTATGCTTTTATCTGTTCGGTTTTTTGCACACAATTTTCACCATTTTAGAAATGCATCAGGCAACCTCCCATTCCCAATTTCTGGGTTTTTTTTTTTGAGATGAAAGTCTCGCTCTTGTTGCCCCAGGGCTTGGAGTGCGATTTGCGCTGTGAATCTTGGCTCACTGCAACCTTCGCCTTCCCAGGTTCAATATATTCTCCTGCCTTCCAGCCCCCCGAGGGATTACAGGCGCCTGTCTTCTTATATATTCGTCTGGCTAGTTTTGATTTTGTATTTTTAGTAGGATTGGGGTTTCCCATGTTGGCCAGGCTGGTCCTTGGAACTTCCTGACCTCAGGTGATCCCACCCCGCTCAGCCTCTCAAAATGTTGGGTATTTTACAGGCGTAAGTCACGGCGCCCGGCAATTTTCTGTAATTAAATAGATGGAACTTTACCCACTTATCTTTTTAACCTAAACTTGTGCTACTCTGCAGACGTACCGTCCCAAGAGGCGGGAAGTTGTGTAAGAAACTTTACGCTGAGTCATCTTCATTGTTGATGAAAAATGAACAGAGAGTTAAAATTTTTATTAGGTGAGAAGGGGATCAGAATGGAGGACGGTAGAACTTGGATGGGGCCGGAGGGAAGAGACCTAACTAAAGTGGTGGTTGGTTCTTCAGGAATAAATAGGGTGCATTTCAGGTTTAGGTCCCTACGTGTTTGATCTAGGCTGAATGGTGCCTTTCCAGATCCCGCCTCTCCAAGGCCCGCAACAGACACGAGGTGGCGCTCTTCCCTTTGCAGTCCTTGGGAGTCGGAGCGGGTCTTCCCTAAAAGCTGCGCCGGCTTCTGGCCCGATGAGAATTTGCATTCGCAGTGAGCGCGGAAGCCGAAATGGCGCCTTGATCGGGGCGACCCTGTGGCTGAACTGAGGCCAATTTCCTGCGGACACCGAAAGACGCGCGGGGGCGCGGTGGGGGGCTGGAAGGGGCCTTCCACTCACTCCAGCCGCAGGACCCCTGCTGCAGCTCGGAGCACGCGCGGCGATGCAAATAACACATTCGAGGAGAGCAGAGGAGGTGGCTAGCCGCAGCTTGGACAGTTGGAATGTCGCAGGGACCACCTTGCAAATCACAGTCCTTCTATAGGGATTCTCACCTGGGCATGATGGAGGCAAATTTGGAAACCTAAGAGTATTGCTTAGGTTTCCTCTCTCTTTGCTCCATCACCAGCCTTTGGTGGTGGTGAAATATTCTTTTCAGTTTTCCAAGGCAAGAAAATATTTTCTCACAAAATAGGGTTCTGCAGAATTTTCAGTTTCCACCCACCTTCCCACTAACATCTGTGAAGAATCGGGCATGGACGGTGGGGACTATGGGTCAAAAATAAGTAAAGGTGTTGACTTTTCAAGAGGCCCCACCCAGCAGGTGAGCTCGCGGGACCGAGTCTCCGGAGAGCCAGCGCAGGGCCCTGGTGGCCTTCTGTTCTTCACATCTCAGGGTAGAGCCTCTCAAAGAGTGGCCTGCAAAGATCTGAACCAACAGCGGGTGTGAAAATTGCAGAGTCCCTGGTCTTACCTCAGGCTCCTTGAACCAGAATCTCTGTGGGTGGGGAAACGGCAAGTTATGAGGTACAACCACACGAAATCGCCTACATTCGTCCTTTTGTAACCTACAAAAATGTCCGTTTTGATACCTCCAGCTGGTTCCCCTGCACCTTAAAGTCTGAGCATCGCTGCTTTGGTGTTTTAGAGCCCTTGGACTTGTTCACAAGAGGAAGAGGGAGAAGCAGCAGCTCGAAGGGGGCTTTCATAGTGGATACCTCTTTCCCTCGGAGCGCAGGGTCTTTGACGCGGGAAGGCAAGGTCTGTCTTTTGGGAATGGGGAAGTGGGCACACAGCACCTGAAAATAGGAGGACTCGAGACCTCCCAAAGCGAGCAAGGGGCCTGGTTTGGGAGCTTGCACTAGCTTCTGCCCCAGTGGAAGGGAAAAAGCCCGGTTTGCTCTCGGCGCGCCACAGCCGGCTGCCGCGCGCACCTGGGGGTACCGCCAGGTTCGGGGTAGGCGAGTGCGCGGGCGGCACGGGCTGGCTTCTCCACATCTCTAGTAGGGCGGGGATGGGGGAGAGGAGGAGGAGAGAACGTGGGGGGCGTTATGGGTTTAGGCCTGCCTCCCACCTCCCCACCTCCCGCCCCCGCGGCCACCCTCCGCTCTATAATTGGCTGCCGGCGGGCCTTCCTTTCTTCTTATCTGATCCTGGGCGCCCAGCTGGAGAGGCGGAGGCAGCTCCAGGAGGCTGGGAGTGGAAGCTCAGCGGGAGCAGGAGTGGGAGGGAGAGGGAGAGAGAGAGAGAGAAAGGCTAATTAAAAAAGGGTACTCCGAGGGAAGAGAGCAAGGGCGGTGCGCCGCCAAGGACCAACTCGCGGCGGAGCTTCGATTTTCCGTAGGCGCGGAGAACTCCCAACCTGGGCTGGAACCTTGCCCAGCACAGGTCAGTTCGTCTTTCTCTGCTCTTCTTCGGCTCGGCTTCGAAGTCCATGCATGAACAAGGAAAAGGGGAGACAGCGAGCCACCTGCAGATGCAATGCAGTTCCATGGACTTTCTTTTCACGCGCGCGCCCAGAATGGCCTGGGGACCTTTGGGATGGGATGGGATGGGATGGGACGGGTGCACCTGGATGCCTTTTCGTGAGGCTCACGGTGCAGGGAGATTAGAGGCATTGGGTGATGAGAGCGCAGAGATATTGGAAATACCATGTGCTGCTCCGGGAAGCTTTTCCCAGTGTTTGGGTGACGTGAGCATGTGGCGGGAAGAAGCTGCGTTTGGCTGCGGGACAGTGGCGGCTCCAGCATTTCCATATAAGAAGGGGCTTAACAAAGGCGGTAATTTGGGTGGGATCCGTCTTGAAGGGCTGTGTGTCCATAAAGAACACACAGTTTTTATTTAGCTTGTGTTTGTGATAACTTGGAAGAGCTGCTGACGGAGATCACAGGGGACGAAACTCACCCAGTCACCTGTTGGCACTTCTACAGATTTGGGTAGCTGAGGACCAGGCGCTGGACGCAAAGGGAAACAGCTAGGCAGAGCGCAAGGATGGAGGATGGCGACAGTAGGCGCTCCTCCACCTCTCTGCGCCGGGAAGCTGGGATGCTTCGTGCGTTTTGCTTCGGTGCCAGAAGCCAGGAGGTTGCAGTTTTGAGAGAGGCACCGACAGGTTATAATGTTGGAGAATCCTCTCCGATTTAGCTTGCTGACCTCTCACTTGCCCCCTTTTATCTCTCTGACATCCCCCCGCACCCCGCGTCCGCTCAAGCCTCCTTTTACATAGCGTCTGGGCGGATAGGCATCCGGGGCAGCTGGGCTTTGGCGCACGGAGCCTTTACAGTGGCCTCAGTCCCAGGGCAGAGCCTGGAGGCCGCCGGCAGGTCCAGGACCACAGGCGCTCAGATCTTGGTGCTGGGTTCCTGTGTCCTCTGTGGCTCAGGGTTGGTCTGCTAAGGACCAGGAGAGTTTTGGACCTGCCCTTACGGAAAGTGTCCAAATGAAGCTTGTGTGCAGCTCTCACACGGGCCAGGATTTCCCCCCAAGCACTGCTTCTGGAGCTGCCGCTGAGAGCCGCGTTACTTCTGCAAGTTCTGGAGAGTCCTCTGTTGACAGTAGCTGAAGAGGGTGGGAGTGGGGGCAGGCAGGAACAAGAGAAAGATGGGAGTAAGTCTTTGGTGGCTGTGGAGAGGAGAGCAGAAATGAAAATGGATTTTCCTGAAACTCCCCTGTTAAAGGCCTTGGGGCCCTTCCTCTACCGAGGGACAGGGAGGGTACTTTTTATAATACTTGCAGTACGTGATGGGCTCTATTGAAATCCAGCAAACAGACTTGAAGCTGGATGCAATGAAGGACCTGGTGTTCTGTTTCTGACAGCGTGGTCCAGTCTGCACGTAGAGAACTCACTGGTAAATTTAGAATGAGTAAAGGAATAAATGAATCAATGAGCAGCTTGTGGATATTTGGTTTTTCAGAAGAGTAACTTGGATTCCTCTGAACTCAAGTGCTTCACTATTATAAGGTAAACTTCAGGATGGTTTTGTTTACTTGTTTTTTAAACAGCTTTATTGAGATATAATACATATACCTCTCAACCCATTTAAAGTGTACAGTTCAACGATTTTTAGTGTTTTCACAGAGTAGAGTAAATCCAGAATTTTAGGATATTTTAGCACCCCCAAAAGAAATCCTGTACCTATTAGCAGTAACTCCCCATTTCTCTCTAACCTGCTGCCCTGTCTGTATGGATTTGCCTATTTTGGACATTTCATATAAATGGAAGTATACAATATGTGGTCCTTTGTGGCTGCTTCTTTTACCTAGCAAAATATTTTCAAGGTTCATCCATGATGTACAGGCTATCTTTCTTACTCTCTCAGTAAATACTGGGTATCCATCCTCTCCTTCTCCCTGGGGAACCCTGAGCCAGGATAGACCTGAACCTCCACTGCAGCCCTGACCTCCTGTGGGTCCCTTTGAAAGGACAGGCGCCCCACTGGTAAGGCCTCTTAGTAATTCCCTGGGAAGTATTCCTTGGAACCCATCAGGATTCCTGGAGCAGTTTTGGATAGATCCCAGCCTTCAAGATTGATGGGAGGAGCCTCTTGGCACTTATCCTGCTGTGAACCGTCCAGCTGAGGATTTCAGAGAACTCTTGGGGCCCTCCATGCATGTCTTGATTTTTCAGAATCAGCCAGGGCTGGTCTTAAAAATGGGCCGAACAAATCGATCCGATTTGAGGGGCTCTAGGGAAAGCCCCTAGCTCATTAAGAAGACCTCTTGGGGAGTCGTCCTTTCAATCTTAAATATTTCCTAGTGTCATACAGTAAAACACAAATGTCTTTTGCCCGTTTTCAGTTGACAGCCTTTGCAGTGATACGACTGTAAAGCCACATTTGCAGTCACTTTTATCTAAACCCAGCCAAATGACTGTTGTTTTCCTGGCCTGTCTAGTGTAACCTAAGATCCCTTTAAAGGACAAGAGCCTTCCTGAATTGCTGCATGATGGAGTGGTGCTGTTTGAGCACCACTGAGCTAACAAATTATCTGGGATTATGATAGTCCATTGAGAACAAAGTTGTTGGTAAACGAGGCACTAGTTGATTCCCGCAGGGAACTGACAGTGGAGTGGAGGGAGAAAGTTTAAAGGAAAGTGATAAAAATAAACTTTCTTCTTGGCAGATTTGCCCCTAGATAGTGCTGGCTGTTAGGAAAATACTCATTCTTTTTGACTCCTTCTGTGAGTAAATAAAAAATGGCGGGGATCCAGTTACTTTTCTGTATACAGCAAACTTTTGTTGTAGACCAAACTGCATCCTGTTCCTGTGATGTGATGTGTGTGTGTGTGTGTGTGTGTGTGTGTGTGTGTGTTGGAAATGTTGGCATATTTTTAAAGTACGTACTGGGTATCTGCCTTTTTCTCTTTTAGAAACAGACTTAAGTCTCCCAATTACTTGAGGAAGCAAATAATATTCCTCCTTTAGTGATCATTGAGCTTCAAGGATAAGAAGTACCTTGTATGGGATCACAAAGCCAGCAAGTGACAGAAGTATGATTAAGAAAAGTTTATATGGGGCCAGGTGCAGTGTGGCTCATGCCTGTAATCCCAGCATTTTGGGAGACCAAGGTGGGTGCATCACCTGAGGTCAGGAGTTCAAGACCAGCGTGGCCAACATGGCGAAACCCCATCTCTACTAAAAATATAAAGATTAGCTGGGCGTGGTCGTGGGCACCTGTAATCCCAGCTACTTGGCAGGCTGAGGCGGGCATTGAGAAATGAAAGAGCGTCTATGGGAAGTTCTGAGCATTCTTTAAGTCAAAGTTTAGAGCCTAGACTCCCCATTTCCTCCAGGTAATTTTTTTGTTAGTGGTCTTGTTGCACTTTTCTCTCTATGGGCCTTTGTCGGAGCTACCCTGAAAGGTGTCCCTGTGAATTTTAGGGAGCAATGTTTTCCCTCATTTCTCCTAGAAATTATCTGAGTTGCTTACAAAAGTTGGTCCAGAGGTAGGTTGCACTTTGCTAAGTCCATTGCAATGTCTTAGGGTGTGTCTTTATCTAGGAGCAGTCAGAAGGCCCTTTATTGGATAAAGATCTATTCCTGGGTGGTCTTTTGTCTCTGGCTTTTGCAAAGAGGAGCACATTTAATTGATGTCTAAAAGTGATACTTTGCTGTGGGTTGTTCGCTTCTGTTCTTCCTTCATTTCCCGGCCCTGCCTCCTGCCTTGTGCTGGCACTGTGCTAAGCATTCAAAATACAATAGGGAATAATATGCTTTGGCAAATGGAAATGCCAGTAGCTAACTACAGGGTCGTGTTCAATGCTACAGAGTGGAAAATAGAGATTACTACCACAGGAAACAGGAAGAGCATCTGACTCCAGACTTGGAAGATCAAGGAAAACTTCCTGAAGGAAAGGATGTCTAAATGGAGATGTAAAGCTACCCTTTATACTGATTACAGATGTACATTGTAGTTAAAAACAATCTCTCATTTCTTTGACAGATGAACTATGTCAGTGTTTGAAAAAAATGAAGAGAGAAAAAAAGCCAGGTGAAGAACATTCCTGTGTCAAGGAGCTGTCATTCCAATTTGCCATATTTTTGGAATGGCTCTACCTTCTATCATTTAGAACATACAGCATCAGTTTAATATTGTTTGAGCAGCTGTATAACTGAGGCTAATTTTCAGTCAAATTCCTTGCATTTGAGTGATTCACAGGGGTGCTGCTAACCTAATAGAATTTTTCTGTAAATTAGAAAAAGGTAGCCCCTCTCTGCAAACCTATGCCATTGGGAGAAGAAAACAGTTCTGTTTTCTCTGGATAACACAGCTTTGCACTGGGGCACATAACTTGGAAGCAGAGTGTCTGCCAATTTCAAGTGTCATTGACCCTATGCCAAGTGTAAATTGTTTAGTTCATTAACTGCAAGCTGTACACACATCAGCCTTGATCATTCAGTCATCAACTATTAAGTCAATCAATATTTACTGATTGCCTGTATGTGTTGAACTTTTTTGAATATGGGTTAAACTACCCATCTAGATGTCTGGTAGTACCGAAGAGCTAGAAGGTTAAAACAGTGAGTGAGGCCATGAAACTAGCTGGAGAATCTCAATAAGATGAGGGACAGATGCAGTTCATTGGAGGCCTGGTTGGTGAAGGATCAAGTTTGGTGCTACTGCTGGCTGGTGCTCATCCACAAACTGTTACCTGCCTCTGATAAGACAAAAACTACATGATGATGTAAATCAAATATGTCAATAAGCACACTGTTCACTAAGCACACTGTTAGTTCAACTGAGATTATTATTATTTTTTCATAGCAAGGCTTTTCTGTTGAAGGAAGCAAAACAATACATAGACTTGCATATTGGCATAAGCTCCTCATCTCATTGAGGACCAGTAACAGTTCATAGACGAGCTACTTTGAGTAGCACCAGTCTAGGCA